AGCAAAGGGTGGCCTGTGGCATGGGGCCTGGAGAATCACAGGTGGTCCTGGGCTCTAGCAGAGCAGCCCAGAGGGCATTGCAAATCAAGATGCCTTAGCTTGCTTTGTCTGGGGAACAGGAGTGTCTCTGCAAGTGTGAGTCTTCTTTCTCATTGAGGCCATTTCCCTGCTCAGTCAGAAGCATGGGCACTGACGTTTCTCAGTAGGGTCAGCCAGCCCTCCTTTACCAGACGCTGGTCACGTGCATCCTGAAGGGAAGGCAGTCAGCACTTGTAGAGACTTGGCTGTCTTCCTACAGCCCCATGAGAGACAGATGTGATGAGTTTCTTGTGTTGCTTTTAATGATTCATCCCAGACTTAGAAGGCTTGGGAGGGGCCTCTACTCAGTGTCTTCCATGGTTGAGGCATCAGCAGGACTACATCCCTTCATGGAGGCTCTGAAGGAGCATCTGCCATGAAGCTCATGCAGCTGTTTACGGAAGTTCCTTGGGGCTGTAGGACTTAGGTTCCCTTCTCCTTGCTGGCTGATGGCTCAGAATTCCCTTAAGTTACTTCCTGTTGTCTTTCCATCTTCAAGCTAACAGCTGCTAATATCCCTTTGGAGCATGGCACCTGATTTGTGTTGCCTTTCTGCTGCTTAAGAAAGCTCTCTGGTTTTAGAGATCCTGTGAAATTAAATTAGACCTGTCGTAAAATCCCCTAGCTTCAGGTCACTGATGAGAAGATATCACATTACCTAGACACTTTGTGTCACTTAAGGTCACACCCTGATGGGTTCCAGGTATTTGGGGTACGGATATCTTTTGGGGGGCTGCTCACCCTACCTTAAGAGATCAATGATTCTACCTTCAGGCACTAGAAACAAGTTCAGTGAGGTGACTTTCTCAAGGGTACTTGCTGGTAACTATGGGCTTCAAACTTACTCCTGGCTGGCCTCACAGTCTGAGTTCTTCTGTACCACACGCATCCCCTGAGCCTGGAATAGCCTGGCAGCCTAGACTCCATTCTGAGGATGGTGGGTGGTGGCAAGTCTGTACCCCATTTCTCTTTTCAGCTCTGTCCTTTGTGCCTGCTGTGCTTTGGAGATCCCCCGTTCTAAATTCAGGAACCCCACACTCTCCCTGCATGTGTGCCAAAGCTTCCTGTTTTTAGAAATACGGACCCCCCCCCCCAATCCCCACTCTGCTGCACACAGACTTGTGACTGGCAGCAGATTCCTTTTTTTTCTCTGGAGACCAAAAGCTAAAAGTGAGATGTGGCAGGGCTCAGAGTAAGTAGATATATTACATGTATCCTGTGTTATGTAAATTGGAGTTTAAGTATCCAATTTTAATGCAAATCAACCTCTGAAAAAAAATCTAAAAGCCACATTTCCCTAAAGCCTGCTCATATCCTAAACTGTGGATATAATTATCAAAAGTGCTCAGCTCATTTTAGAAACACTTGGTGGGAATGAAGTGCCAGGGTCAGCAGGTGGGGAGGTTAACCAAGACACAATGTGGCTTTTACAAGGCCCCCGAAGTCAATCCATCTGCAGAGACTTCTAAAGCGGAGACAGGGCTGGGTGAGAGGGGGATCTGGCTCAGTCTTCAACACCCTGGCCAAAAAGTACATCTGATTCTGGAGCTGTGAACATATTGAGAGCATGCAGAAATTCTGGGATGGACAGACACTTCAGCCTTCTCCTGTTGTTGACATAATCAGAGTCCCCTCAAGCATGGCTCCATTGTATTCAATGTAAACTATTTCAAGCAATCCCTTGTGCATTGTGTTGTCTGTCCTACATCCTCCTCATCCCAGACTCAACCAACCGTGGATTAGTATTTTATTGAAAATAGAAAACAACTCTGTTTTGTTTGTCTTGAGCATACATGGAAAGCCATTTTCCTCACTATCTCTCCCTAAATCATGTAGGGTACAACTGTTTACACAATGTTTACACTCTATCATGTATTATGGCTAATGGAGAAGTGATTTAAGAAATACAAGTGTTAGCACATAGGTTCTATGCAAATTATCCACCATTACATATAAGGGACTTGAGCGTCCATAGGTTGGAGCGTGGGGGAGACATCTGTGTCTGGATTGCTTTCCCAGCCAGAAATTCCTTCCCATTCAGTCTCTCGCTTTTCACACATGTATTTTGTGAGGAGCTTCAACTATTCTGGGCCTTAAGAACCAGAAAGGAGATGAACTTTCTGCTCTTGCCTTAAGGGAACCAGCACGGGGCAGGGACAGACAATGGGACAGATGCTTACTTAGACGGTCTGCACAATGGTGGTATAAAGAGACATCGGTGGAGAAAACAAGTTGGCAGAGTGGGTGGGTGGGGGAAGGGCAGAGGTGGGGAGAAGGCGGAGAAAGTGTCCAGGTGGCAGAGGAGGTCACCCAGCACTGCCATCTGCAGGGCTTCACGGTGGGTGGTAAGGAGGCTCCATCCTTGCAGAGGACCCAGACAGTCCGAGAGTTCAGGAGGGTGGGTGGAGGCTGGAAATGGGAGAAGTCTGTTGGGCTTTGAGAGACAGACAAAGCCAGGGAACAGAGGCAGACCTGTGGACCAAGACCTGGGAGGCTTGCTTCTCAGCAAGGGTACCTCGGCAGGAGCAGAAGAGTAGATTCGGGGGAAATAAACGCTGTTGGAGAACCACTTAGCGAAGGGCTGGCTGGGGTGGAGAGGAAATGTGAGGGAGACAGAAGCAGATCTTTAGGACTGGGGGTGAGAACCCCCTGTTACACCCAACAGATGGGATTCCTTTGCTCTGACAGGCAGCTTCTTTCGCCTTCATTTGTAGCAGAAGCCCTGCTCACACCCTCCATCCAGACCGCTAACCACCCATCAATCACCTGGCCCACTTCGGAGTTCTCACCTGCTCATGCTTTGTGGCCTGGTTACCCGCCCCTTGCAAATGTTACCTCCCTGTGCACACAAGCATGTGATAGATCCACTCTTGGAAAAGGACTTTACTCTCTGGTATACAAAAATTAAAAAAAAAAGAAAGAAAGCAGAAAAGAAAGGAAAAAAAATTCCAGAAAAGGCTTTTAGAGTGCTGTTAGCCAGCCACAACATAGTAGGATGTTGGGGTGCATGGAAACAAAGTGGTTTCTTCTCTGTGGTCTCAAAAATCTTGTGATGGATTATAAAACATCTCTCCCACACCTCCCAGGGACCGTTTCCCAACTTCTCTATTTAAATCAGCCCTTGGTGATGCCAAACGACTCAGAAGCCGGCTCCTCGAGATTGCATCTTGATTTGAGCAGCTGTGTGTTAACATCTCTCTAAAGGAAGGGTGCTGGGTAAGTGGGACCAGAATGTGCCATTCTGCAAATGATGATGCTGCCTGCATCCAAATACGACTGCGACACCCAGGAGGGATCATCCCCGCCTTGTGCAGTTCAAGAGGACAGGAGGAACCCCAGAAGACAGACTGGATGGAGCTGAGCTGTAACTTCAAGGATTTTCTAATAATTCCACACAAAAAAATCCTCAACCCAGAAAATGCCCAACAGCAAAACAGTTTCTGAATCTTTTCGAGCGGCACTGGGGCAGAGACTGAACCGCTGCCGCCGTCCGTCAGATGGGCTGCAGGGGGCCAGCACCTATTTGCCGGTGGGAAGGAGGGCTGGAACTTCTCACTAAGTAAGAAGTGCAAATAAATGATTCTGTGTAATAAGATACCCGGCTTCACCGAGGCCGGTGTAGGCAGACTTAGCCATGAACCCCACACCAGCACATTCACAATCTCGGTTACATTTCACAGGACCAGTAATGACTGATCCCCCAGGAAGGGAGTCACCCTTGACTTGTGTGCTGGGGACTGGAGATTCCAGTTCTGTTTACTATGCTTCCAGTCTGACCCCCTACCTGGCAAGAAACCAATTTCCTGATAGATTTCTTCCCTATGCTTCCCAGGTGGGGGGAAAACAGATGTTGAGGGTTAGGCCGAAGCCATCAATTTCTGGGAAATAATTCTTAGTGGCCAAGGAGGAAAGCCATAAAACACCCCGAGGGCAGGGACAGGAGACAACGATGGATAATGCCAGGCTGCTAATGCCAGGGTGAGCCGATGGGTCACGTTTCCGGCCTATGTACTGCTCCCCAAGCCATGCCAGCACACCCCCAGCACCCACAGAGGAGAAGCACCCCTCACGTTAGGACTCTCCCTCTAACACTTCGGTGACTGGTTTGCTCAACCAACAGTCATCATGGACGTCCCGCCCAGCAGGCCCTAGGCACACTGAGGGATGGAGCTACACAGGAACAACAAGGACTAAATACCAGTCCCATTAGGTCTCTCTTCCTGGGAAGAAACTCACATGTCCATGGACACTACCACTCTCACTGACCTCAAGATATTCACAGCACCCCCAAGAAGAAGGGCTGTTAAAACAAAGCTATACGAAGAACAAGAGGACAGCTTAGTGTGACAGGTGAAATGAGCCTTCTTATCTGAGACGTTTTCTCTGTAGCTGCATATATCAGCCACTGCTATGACCGAGGCAGGGCACCTGTGTGTAGCAGCCAACCGTTCCGCACCCTCTTCTTTCCCCACTGAGAGGTAAGGACGAATGACCTCATGGTTTTCGTGGCGATCAACCCAGAACTGTGGCGGGAAGGGACTGCTCTCTTAACCCCTGTGCCACGTTCTTTTCCTCCTCCGCCTTCTTCAACTTCAAAACTCCAAGTTTTCAGCGCTTCTAGTTCAAGTCATATCTGACACTTTCGCCTTGGCATTCATTCTGAGTTCTCTTGAATTTCACATCTTACTTCCTCCCTCAAGAACCCGATTGGGCATGCATCCCATGGGGAAATTCTCTTGCTATGACCACCTTCCTACAGTCGCTGTCTGGAAGCCTGACCAGTCTTTTCCCGAAGGAAGTGACTAACATTTCTAGACCACCCACCCCATGCTGCATCCTTCGGTTGGTGTGGTGGCTAAGGATGCGGAGCTCTCGGGCTGCCCTGCACAAAATAGATCATGACACACAGGGCAGAGACTTACCGAAGTTCTCCCCACCCCAGATGTCCATGTCGACGTCATATTTACCAAGGTAATCGAACCAGGCTTTGTCAATCACGAAGAGCCCTCCAGCTATGATTGGAGTCCTGTTTGGAAAGAGGGTAAGGTGGGGAATCATTTAATAAGAAGCTACCCTCCAGCTCTTTGCTTCTGAGAGTCCAGAACTCAAGACAATTTCTTCAGAAGAGCCAATGCTATTTTTAGGCTATCTAAAACAAGGATCTGCTGTAGAGTTTTGCCCTCTGCTTGCAAATTCTCTGACCTTGAAGACAGGAAACTCTACTTAGTAGTGCCTTTCCAGTGGGCTGCCACTGGCTCCTCCTCCCCCAGTTCTGCTTAGTGAGGCTCTGGGAGCAAAGCTGACAGCCACTGACCAGACAGAGAAGGGCTGTGAGCAGCCTGGCCATGTCCCGACCTCTGCCTACTTCCCTGGTTTTAGACATTACCTTTACGTTGTACCTTTATGTTCGAAACCTTGCCCCCTTCCCATACAATAAACAGGTAGATAGATAGATAGATAGATAGATAGATAGATAGATAGATAAAAGTGTTACTGAAATCCTAATTCCCAGTATCTCAGAATGTGACCTTATCTGGAGGCAGAGTTTATAGTGAGGTAATCAAGTTGAAACAAGGCAATGAGGGTGGGCTTGGATCCAACGACTGAGGTTTCTATAAAAAGGGAAACTGGCATGCAGATGTGAACCTACCAAGAAGAGGACCTAGAGACTAGAGAGAAGTTGTCAATCTGCAAGTTGAGCCAAGAGACCTGGATGGCTATCAGAGGATAGCAACTCTGCCAACACCTCGCCTGTCTCTAACCCACGGCACAGGCTTCTCCCACTTAAACAACTCAGGTGCTCGTTGCTGCAGCCATAGCAAACTAATGTACCCTCTTCTTTCTTTGGGGAGGGGGAATCTCCTTTATCCTACTATGGTTCTTGATTGCTCAGAGAGAAGCTAGAGAAGTTGTTCAGAAAGAGAACACAGGCAGGTAGACAAGAGCAGCAGGAGCCAAGCAGGTAATTCTGTAAGTATTAGGACATACATTAGCAAAACCAAGGGCCAGGGTTGTGAACACTCACTTTGGTGTGCCCAGAGAGCAAAGGGGTTAAGGGGTTCTGTCTCCATAGCAAACCCAGAGAGCAGGTCAGAAGCCCTGAGTTTGCCTTTGCTATGATAATTTGCTGTTCCTGGAACGCTGGTCTAATTCTGGGAACACTTCCTCCCTGATAAGCAATGTGCATAAGAACACCCGTCCCAAGACTTTCTCTTGGGACAGACTGGCAGTGTCAGTGCCATCTTAGCCCATGCCTTGCTCCACTCCTCTGAAGTATTTTCACAAGCCACCCTCTCTCCGCACCAAAACCTGCTCTGTGCACTGACATAGAAGAACATAGTGCTCAGCCTGGTGGGGTGGGGGGCTCCTTTCCTTTTTGGGATAAAGGACATTGTCCTGAGTGTCATCTGGTTCACTCTCTCTCTTTCTCTTGGATTCAGTGCAGATTATGAAGGATGAAGAAGGAAACACAAATTAGGAGATGCATGAGACACAACCATCTCTGAGTCTCTACCCACCCATCTAGACCACAACCATTCAGCTCTTTAATGCTCCCCCAGTCTTTATTTCAACTTAAGTCAATTCAGAGAAATGATCCAACATCTATAATGATGGAGATATCAGAGACACAAGCACTCTTGAATAATCTTGGGTATTTTAAAGTGACTGGATGGAGAAATTCTGGTCTACTGTCCTTGTCTGAAGTTCGTTAAGCACTCCAGATGCCCCAGCTTCCCCTGAGGCAGAATTGTTTGAGTCTGGAGGTTCCCAAGAGGCCTTGGATAAGCTTTCAAACAAGTCTCAAGCATAGCATCAAGGCCACATCTCAATGCTGAGACCGCAGGCTCCTCTGCAGGATACAAACTGTGCTCTGTTCTATGCCAGAATCTCTCGGATGGCGGTGAACTCCAGGAAGACAGCTTGCTAGCACAGGTGACAGTGGAACCGACCAAGAGAATGTGTGGCATGCCAGAGCCATCTGCAGAATGGCCAGTTAGTTCAGTTCAAGCCACCACATTCACACAGAACAAACGCAGAGGTGTCACCACATAGCAGTGGTCATGTATGCATTCCACTTTATAGGACTTACAGCCTCCACATATCCTCTCTGAGATGAACCCTGACAACCAAAACCTTGGACCCATGGGCTCTAGGAAGCACTTCTTCCCTCACCAGAGGCCCAAATGTGATGACCTTGGACCCTTACATGTTCTCTGTCTAGAGGCATCATGGCTCATGTGAAGGTGGGGAGTGTTGGTTACCATTCCACAGCACGGGTCTCTAAAGGTCCCATCTCCATAATACAGAAACTTTCCAGAATAAGGGGAAAAAGTAGAGATTCCCTGGCCCAGGGTTTTTGTCTCCACTTCCCCACTCTTTTGGACACTCAGTAGTGACCTTTCTGAGCCATGGGACAGCAGGGAGGGTCAAGTAGGGCTGAACCTGCCCACCCCACCCCCCACTGCAGCAGCCTTTTATACTCACCGGATGGGCTCAGTAGGGTCCAGGCGCAAAGCCTTCTGCTCTGGAGAGAGCTGCTCCCACTGGAAATGCAGGCTCCAGTCAAACCCTAAAAACACAGCATTGGCACAGCTGATTTGGTTTCTCAAAGAACGCTCAGCGCTTTCTTATCCCACTCTTTTTTCTAGTTCCGGGAAAACTTGCTGATCAACAGCAGGGCTACCAAAGCTCTCTCTGGATTTCCTTCTCCAACTGGAGCCCATGGAGCCCGCCTGAAGCTCCCTGCTTGGTAAAGAAATAAGGAGCAAAGGGTAAAAGCCAAGGCACATGGCACAAAGGTGACAGAAAGGGCATCATGGGACACAACCATCTCTGAGTCTCTCTCTACCCACCTGCCTAGACCACAGCCATTCAGCTCTTTGGTGCCCCCCAGTCTTTATTTCAACTTAAGTCAATTCAGGGAAATGACCCAACATCTATAATGATGGAGGTATCTTATCCAAGGCTTCTTGGGAACCTCCAGACTCAAACAGTTCTGCCTCAGGGGGAGGCTGGGGGCATCTGGAGTGCTTAACAAACTTCAGACAAGGACAACAACCACAGCTCTGTGTCTTGGGAAGGAGTAAGCAGAGAGTTTGATATAAGTGGTCAGAGTCACCTAGATGTCAGTGCTGGGCGGAAGTGAACTAGGCCCAGGCGGAGTGCAGGGGAGGGAGGGTCTCTGGGAAAGGGTGATGCCAAAATCAAGATAGCAGACCAAGTCAGGCCCCACATAACCCCAGGCTCTAGGGGCTGGGATGTCTGGTTCATTTTCCCAGCATTTCACTTCGCTGTCCCAGGAGAAAGGGCCGGGCTGAACTGGATTTTACTGCTAAACTATACACTTGGACATGTCAGACAGCTCTCTAGGAGGTCTTCATTTTCCCCACGTTGAGATGGGGTAAAAGAGGATGGGGAGCAAAAGGAGGAGGAGGGGAAGAGGAGGAGGAAGGCAGAGGAAGAAAAAGAGGAAAGCAGGAGGGGGAAGAGGGAAGAGGTATCAGCTCACTCACCCCCTCTGAGCTCGGAGGCAGACTCAATGTAATTGAAGGTGTCCAGATTGATGATGTCAATCACAGGGCACACGACCCTTGTGTAATCCTGTGAAACGAAGATTTGCATTCAGTTTGCAGGAACACCTGCTGACTGGAGGTCAGCGAAAACTTGGTCAACTAGTGGTTCTAGCCTAGTCATGAGAAACTGTGCATGCCCAAACGGAGCCTGGGTTCCAAATTCCTTCACATGAGGCCTAAAGTTGTTGGACAAGTTGGTGAATAGTGGTTCCCTGAAGGCAGACAAACAGACGGACACACACACACACACACACACACACACACACACACACACACACATCCAGTCCTGAATTCCCACCTACTAATCAGCCCAATACACCACTGGCGACTTCTATACACACAGTCGTCACTCAGCTCTTCAACAGTGGCTTCACCATCTTCTACTGACACACTCCTTCCTTCAAGCTCCAATTTCTATTAACAGATCACCCCACATCCTCTTCCCCTAGCACTAAATCATGCTGTCCATCACGCAGATCAGCTTCTGGTTCTGACCCTGAAGTTCTGAAGGACTCTTCTGAATCCACAATGACTCATGTCTAAAGAACTACTATGAACTCCTAAGCTCTTTCCCATCTCATCCACACTGTTCCCTTTCCTTCTGTATATGGCTGCCCATGCTCTTTCAGTTATACAAATCTGGCCGATACTTTAATCACCTCTAACAGAAGGTGTATTTCTTAACACAGAATCTAAGGCCATTCAAACGTGCTTCTACATGTGAGTGAGAACATGGGATGTTGGTTCCGGCAGGACAGATATTACCAGGGGCTGGGGGGAGAGGGAGAGGACTGATAACAGGCACCAAAATTCAGTTAGAGGAGGCATAAGTACTACAGTTCTCCAGCATAGCAGAGGGGTTATAGCTTTTAATAATTTATTATATATTTCAAAATGTTAGAAGATTTTGAATGTTCTCAACACAAAGAAATGATCAGTGTTTGAGGTGGGAGAAATGCTAATTACCTTGACTTGATCATTACTTGGTGTATACATATATGGAAATATACCCCATGAATATGCATAATTTTTTGTGTTAATTTAAAAAAAAAGTCATGCATCTTGCTTTCCAATTTTATCACTTACTTCTCCCTCAGGACACCCTGTACATTGCCATCAAGGTCATGTGGGATAGAGAGATGGCTCAGTAGTTAATAGTGCTCCCTAGTCTTCCAAGAGGACTTGGGTTCAGTTCCCAGTGTCCACATCAGGAGGCTCACAACCACCTGTACCACCATCCCCAGGGGATCTGATGCCCTGGATTCCATGGGCACCTGAGCACACGTGTGTGTGTGTGTGTGTGTGTGTGTGTGTGTGTGTGTGTGTGTGTTGTGTGTGTGTGCACATACCCACATACACACATATACATAATTAAAAAGAAAATAACCCTAAATAAACATCTTAAGGAATATTTTCAAGACAACCAAGCCCAAGTCCCCAGTTCCTGGTAGATAGGACTACCAAGCCTATCAAGTTTGTCCCTTGTAGGTGAGTATAGCACAGGATATTGACCCAACAATGGTATGAACACAAAGACACCTGGATCTCACACTGAAGTCAAGTGGCCTGGGGAGGCCAACCCATCTTGAGGGAGCTCTCCTTTCCACCCCCCACCCTTGAGCCAGCTCAGGCTGGAACTTCTGCCTCACCTTGAAGCTGTTTAATTTCCAGGTTCAATCTTTTCCCCAAATGAGATGGTCTTCTTATTTTTAAGCCCCAGAACCACAGAGCACTTGATTCTAAGTTCACAGACTTAATTTGGCCCTGAGCCTCCCCACATCCAGTTGACTCTGACAGGAGTAAGGTGCCTCTGAAAGCCAACTGGCCCAGGTGGAAAGGAAAGGAGCACTGTTGCCAAGGTATCGCTCCCACTGCAGGGATGTTAGAGATGCTTCTGCTGTCAGCACTGCACCTGCCCGGGTACCATGGTCCCTTTAGACCTGCTCTCCAGTCATTGATGTTGTGTGTGTGAGCATACACACATACCATCGAGGATACTCATATCACTTTAGCTTTAAAATCAAAAGCTTAGGAATGTAGTCAGTAAGTTCTACCAAGTCTGTCTTCTCTGGCTGTGTTCAGGGACCTCTGCAGCCACACTGATTCCTTCTGTGACCCTTTAGACTCTCAAAGGCATGTCTAGTCTATGCCCAGCTGCTAGGGATATCCTCTAAGCCCTTGGTATGCCGTGCTTACAAGATGTCATCGTTTCCCTGGGAGTCTTGGGCCACACTAGTCTGTGCTAACACTGTGGTGTATGCTGAGGGGTTTGCCCCATGAAGTTCCAACTTGACCTCTACAGTCGCATGGTGACCAAGAAGACCATAAAATTCAGGCTCATCTATATGACTGATGTCCAGTTAAAGCTCTGGATACCAAGGCATAGGTGAGCTTTCCTGGTTGGCAATCCCTTCCTCCCTTCCCCTCCCTGGGCTACCAGAGATTGCTTCTAGGAGAAGCAAATGTTGTCTGTGGAGCCCTTCTGGGAGAGGACCGCTGAATGCACGTGATGGAATTGTGCTCCTGCTGCTGCTAACCTGTTTCCTTTCCACTGCCATCACTGATAAGCACAGCAGGTTTGCTTTGCTGACTTGTTGATCCTTGCACTGAGCCCGGGAATGGTCTTGAGGATTCTTGTTTTGTTTTGCTTTAGTGGAAACAAACTCCCCCTCCCTATTTTAGTATCAAGCTGAAAAACCAAGTGAAGAGCAAGTGCCTCAGCCACAGCCTCCACATGGACACGGAGCCCCAGCTGTGACAGGCTCCCCAAGTGCTGTCCTACGCCTCTGACTGCTGGTGTCTCAGGACTGCTGTCACACCTCAGTTGTGGTATCTGGTCGGTGGAGAACAGATGGGAAGTGAGGGTTGGTTGGGGACCGAGTGCTAAGGGGGGTTATTACCTTGAAAGAGGCTGCAGAGGCTTTTATAGGGAGTCAGCAAAACCCGAACACAAACTCTCTATACTGGAGGATTGGTGTCAACTCTCTGGAGTGCCCCCAGGCCTAGCCTAGAGCCTGGAAGGCAGCCAGTATTTGATGGCATAGTCTAAAAGAGAGAGGCTTTCACTCCCTACACCCTTGTGTAGGTGATGGCAGGGACCAGATGGGTCACTTATGGTTTAACAGAGGCTCTGCTGCTGTGTGCCCCTAAATGCTATGTCCTAAAAGTTAGGTCCAAGCTTGAGAATAGGCAAGCAGCTGGTATAATCCTAGGCGGGTCCTGGACTATTGCCTACTCCCCATTTCCTCTCCCTACCATGAAAATGCAAGCCTGTTTCCCCTGACCCAGCCCTATCTCTACTCCCCACCCCCTTGCCAGGAGGAAGGAGGCTGAAAGCGCTGGGCAGAAGCTGTCAATCATTGCCGCTGCCATACCTCTTGTTTCCCCACTGATTCGCATGATTAAAGCATATTGTGAATGGGCAATCAAAAACTTCTGGAATCACTCTCTCAGGTGGTCACCAGCATTCCTGAGTCTTCCTGTGGCGTAGGGATTGTAGGAGGAAACGATGAACTCGATTCAGGGTCTAAGAACAGTCCATGGGGCCTCTCAGTTGGCCTAGGGGCAGGTGTGATATGTTTTCCTCTTTAGGACCAAAAACTTGACAAGAAGCAGCTGAAGGGAAAGAAGCATCTGTTTGGGCTCTGTGTGGCAGGGACGGCATGGCATGACGTGAGGGGCTGCTGGGGAAGCTGGAGTATGAGGCTGCTTGCTCAGAATCTCTGAAGATTGGGAAGCAAAGAGAGGCTAGTAGCAAGAGGGGTAGGCTACAGACTCGCCCTCAGCAACCTACTTCCTCTGGCTAGAACCCTCTTCCCACTAGCTCCATAACCTCCCAAAACAGCGCCACCAACTGGGGACCCGATGAGCAAGCTGGCAGAGGGTGGAGGATGAGTTAACATCCAGCTCACTCATGTGAGAGAAGCTGACCGGGTCCTTAAGGCGATGCCACTGTGGGGGAGGGACACACTTATCGACAGAATGTCTGGATTTCCATTCATGCTCTGTCATGCAGAATTATGTATGGCCTTGGCAAACTGGCATGTTCCATGGGATCTTGTCTGTAAACCTGTGATGAGGAGGCAAGTTGCTACTCCTTGCAAGAAGATCCTGCCTTTTGAACAGAGCTCATGCAAGGAAGGCAGGAGAGGACAGCGCATACGCAGGCAGGCATTGAAGGCTGCATCAACTACCATTCACGTACATTTTCTGGGTGTTGAAAGGATGGAGATTTCTTGAAATCTCTTTCCCATCAAAAACACATATAAGGAAGGAGGTGAAAGAAAGAAAGAAAGAAAGAAATATTATGCTAAAAACGAAACAAAGCAGCACAGAAACCAACTTGGTGTTTCTTTCAAGAATTAGAGGGATGGGAAGGGAAATTAGGGAGGTGTCACCGGGGAAACTTCAGCTGAGATAGCCTAGGACAGCTTGTTTCTTACTTTGTTCTATTTTTGAAAACCCCAGTCTCCAATTATAGCTTAAAATTTCCATTTCCACTCACAAGATCAGATCACATTGTATGTGGAGACAGGGCATATGCAGAGAAATCCAGAAACACAGCTGTAATGCATACACAGTCCCTATCCCTGCAAGGCTGTCCCAGGCCCTGCCCCATAGTAGAAGAGGTAGAACTTTCAGGGTGATCTTAGCAGCTCACAGAGGACTTTCTGGGCTAACCCTGGGTCTCCTCTCACCAATCTCTTCACTGTGAAAGGCTGAGCTCTGAAAGTGATAGGGACCAAGAAGCCAAGCTCCATCATGGGGCCAAATGACTCCCAGAGGGATGTCTGGTTGCCACAAGCCTAACTACCATCGGAGAAAGCAAAGAGCCCTGTGCCAGTCTGTAAGGAAGACGGGCTGCTGCAGAAAGAGAAATGAGACCACCTCCCGGAAAGTTTTCCAAGATGGACTCAGAGCCCTCGGAATAGAAAGGGATTCAGACTAACTAAGACTGAACTCCCTTAAAATACCCTCTAGGACTGTGGTTTTCTACTGAAGACTCGCATAAGATTGGCGCATCCCTTT